TGGGACGTCGCTCCTCTCTCTCCCTTGTCTCACGTCGGATGCTTTCTAAGACCTCAGCTTCCACATCTCGGGAGTGAATGATCCTCCWCTCCTKTGCGGGCTCTTCCCGCTCTCGTCCCTGGCGAGTCCTCCCCTGCACGTTTATTTCTTGGTCTTGGAAATGTTCCCTCCTTTCTTCGTTTGCGTAGGGCTCCTGTTTTCTCATTTCCTCATCTCTTTCTTCACGCAGCTCTGCTTGAATCCTCCTCCTCCTCTGTCTGTCCAGGTTCTCAGCCTTGGGTTCTGAGCTGTGTGTTATTTCTTCATATAYACGTCTTCCTGGCTCATGTTTTTCATAGCAGCTTCGTTCCACTGCTATAGGTTCTTCAATATATGACTGATATAGGCATTTCACATCTTTTCTTTGCACTCCTTTCTGCTCCCTTGTCTGGCGGCGGTTACCATCAATCTCTTCTGCTTCCAGCTCACTGCGGTGATAGCCACTTGTCCCATTTGTGAGTAACTCAGTCCTCTGTGGCTGAATGTCCCTTCCTCTAGCTGCTTCTTGCGCTGCCTCTTGGTCTTGTGGATGATGGTTTTCTTCATCATTCATCTGTGGTGCTGGCTCTTGTGGTTCACGACTACTCCACCGGTTTCGTAGTGGTTGAGGCTTCCTTGGCTGGTTGCGACCCTTCACGTCTGCCACTTGATCTAGCCGAGGCCCCTCTTGATTTTGTCTCTCATCTGCCTGTGGTTCAGGCCGACGTGCCTGCAAGCTGCCACGTTCGTTGGGTTGTGATTCTGATTCATGCGGTGAGCTATGAGTCCTCACATCTCCTTTTCGCTCTGACTGACGTGTCTGATGGCTGCCTCTCTTCTCCACCAGTGGTTTTGGCTTTCTTGACTCACTTYGGCTCTGTTCATCTTCTTGTCCATCCAGCTCAGGTGGCTGGAGGATGTTACTTCGGTTACTTGGCTCTTGGCTTCGTTCTTCATGTACTCGAGATGTTGGATCTTCATATCTGCTGGTTCTTTTTGCATCATCTCTGTCTTGCGTGTTACGTTGCTGGTGATGACTCTCTGTTTCCTCTAGGGTTTCGAGCTTGTGAACCCTGGTGTCACGTTGTGGTTGAGGTTCACAGGATCGATGGCGATTACTGTCACCAATCTGTGGTTCCTCTTCCTGGAGCTGGCGTTGGTGTCCTTTATTATTAATTTCAGGCTCTCGAAGTGACTTCCCACTGGTTATTAGCTTTGTTCTTTGCAGAAGACACGGTCCCTTCTGCAGATACCAGTAGCAGGCCTTAGCCACTCTGAATACCAGAAACAGGAACTCATTAAAATCTATTTTCCCATCGCCRTCCCATTCAAGAAAGTGCAGGATCTTGTCGATGGTTTGAGAATCATGTGGGTTCTGCAGGGAAAACAAGCAGGAAAACGAAAACAGGGTTTTAGACATCTTGCTCCTTTACAGAGAAATACAACACACGGGAGTAACTGCAATGTTTTCTCCTTCTATCTTGTACAGCTTTAGTTTTCTAGCTCAACAACACCCCCATGCCTTTGTTCTCCACGTTCCTGGTGGTTCTGTATTCTCCCACTGGATGCATTTCCTTTGGAAGAAGACCATAACTTCCCACAGTTTCTTCCCCAGTTTTTGCCTATTTGCTCACAGTGGAATTGCTCGAAGCAGCTGTCAAAGCAGAGACACGCATCTGCTGCTGCCGTTTGGTAGGAGCCTCCCCAGCCCACTGCCATCTGGTCCTGAAAGTCATCCCCTCTCCCGGAGGAGATGTCTGCAATCACTGCTCTCCACTCAGCCTCCATAAGGGTTTCGAGGGCTCCCACTCACCGCTATGAYGTCTGCAAACTCCTTCAGGATGAATTCTTTCATCTCCCTTCTGCTGAGGATGGAGCTGTCTCCATCTTCCCTCGCGTGTTCGTGAAAGACGCTAATGATGGTGGAAATGCTGTCTAAGAAGCGAGACATCTTCCTGCAGATTCGAGCAAACCTGTAAGGAAAGTAGGAGATATAAGGGGCAGGATACACTTATCTGAGCATGAGCTCAAAGACCTTTGAGCTCATGCTCAAAGCTCAAAAGGTCTTGAGCTTTTGAGCTCAAAGAAGGGCTCAAAGAAGAGAGCCCTTCTCTGGGAAGAGTTGCTGGGCTCAAATAGGCTCTGCGCGTTGATGGGCTGCCGTGGGCTCCGTGTCTGCTCCTGTGCCATGATGACCACTGGGAAGAAATTCAAAGGCTTCAGAGGTTTCGTGGGATGGAGGGATGTTCTTCAACTTGCCTGCCAGCATAGTTGGGGAATGTTCGGTGCAGGGTGGCAGCATGTGTGCATTTATGGGCCACRAGGGATGATGAATCAAGAGATACCCCTAAAACCCCATCCAGGTAGTGCTATACCAAGTATTTATGGTTCCAGGGTGTGTGCTGCTGTTTGCCTTCCACTGGAGATATACCAACTTATCTGGAGCAGATTAGGGGATGTCTAATGCACGGGTGGCATGTCCTTACACGAGATGCAGCTGGCTTAGAGAGAGAGGTTGCAGAGCGTTAAAACAAGCCCTGTGGCCAGTCCTCCTAGGACCAGCAGTATTGTAAATCAAGTGATGGATCTTTCATCGCAGCGTCAATTCCCTGGCAAAGAGATTTTGGCCAGAGGAGAACTGCCAGATCACCTAGGTCAGAGCTCCTTAGTTTTGCTGTGATCTGCTCAGCAGAAAGCAGCTCTCCTGTTTGAGCTTGGTGCCTGGGAACCTCAAAAGCCACCCACCTTCTTCCTCGCAGGATCCCAAAGCCTGTTATCGGGGTACAATGGAGCTGAGGTCTCAGCTTGCACGTGGGCAGCTGTGCTGCCCATGTAGCCTGTAGACACACATGCACCTACGCACACCACCCTGCACACAAAGTTCTCTCTTTTTGTTTTTTTGGTATTTCAGCAGAAATCTGAACATTTCTGTGATGTGTTGTGGCTGCTAGCTGAATCCAGACCAAAGCCAAGCAAAAAACTTGTCTGCTCTTTCTTCAGAGGACCATTGCTTCTACACATAGACACAGTGATAACAGCATGCGAATGTCCTAATCTCCCAAAATACTTTCCTGCATATAAGCATCAAAGACCCCCTGGAAAACAGTGCCACAGGAGCGACATTTGTCACCCTAGATGGCTTCTATGCCAAGAGCATGTCCTTTCCAAGCGAAACGAGCGTTTCAAAAAGAATGACTTACCCAAGTCACCAGCAGGATCAAGAGGGTTTCCAGTGAAGCCGTGCAGAGTGAGCGGAGGACTGGAGAGCTTTTATAGGGTCCTTGACGGAACTAAAGCAAGGAGACACCCTTTGTGGACATTGTCCTGATTCATCTTTGGCCAAACCCAGCTGCACCTTCGTGTCCTCAAACGGGTTATTTGACTTATCATCCCCTTACCTATCATTTTAACCCAGAAATAGCAGTTACCATGTGGCAATTCAAGAACTGGCTGGTTCCACCTAATCCGGGTTGTAAAGTTATTTTACAGGGTGATTTTGTTTAAGATTGAAAAGAAAATAAAAGCTCAAATAGCTATAAAACTTAAAGATGTGTTTGTGGGGTGGCGTATTTTTTATATATGCGTGTCAGGGATTATCCATGGGCTTTTTTGTGTGTTCCTTCAGTGCCTTGGGTTTGCTATGGTGAAATAGAGGCATATGGCAGTGGCATCCCCAGTTCCCCCATGACCCCTTGGTCTGGTGGTGTCCTTGTTGGGTATGCTGAAAAACGTACTTTGTTTTTTGGTGATTTCATTGCATTATTCAGGTTTCTGTTGAAGAAAAGGAATATTTTCACACTGCGAGGTTTGAAAAACGAGATTTTTTAAGAGGAAATGTCAGATTGATAAGCGGTGACTTTTCATTGAGAAAAATCATGGAAGAGCATTTTCAGGTTGACCATCTTCCAGGACTGACTTTCGTTTTAACTTTGCTTGGTCTTTAATTAAAACTAAAAGCTAAAACATCTCTACCAAGAAGCAGATTTACGTTGAATCTCATTTGGTTGCCCTAGGCAGCGTTTGGTCCGCAATCCCCTCTATTTTTTTTATCTTTTAATGTATATCAATTAGAGACCGACTCATTTCTTCATTCATCTCCAAGTGTCCCAATACCCAGAGGAAATAGGGATGACTTTAGCCAGGACACCTGGGCCCCTGCTTTTGGTTTCGGAGGCAGGATCGTTGCTTCGACAAGCGTGACAGGGACATTGCGGAGAGGCTCCGGAACATGAACTTGTCCTGCAGCCTTGGCTGAGCTGCTCAYCTGGCCCATCTGTAAGGCGAGATAATAGTGGGTGTAGGAGCCTAATTAATTAGTGCTGGTAACACCTTGGGGATACTCATATAAGTGCGCATAAGGATTGTTACCAACCACACTTCATTTTTTAAGCTTTTTTTTTTTTTTTTCAAGATTAAATTATACTTGTGCAAATTATACCCCACCTGTGGGATAATGATACCCTTGGGAAACTGTAATTTTACGGCGGATTGGAGTTATTATCAAAATTARAGTATTACAGTGCAGTTGGGGCTTGTGCACTTTGTGTCCTATAACAGTCTGTAATCCCACCCGCAGGAGTTACAGCAACGTGGGACGACCAGGAGCTCTTGGGGCGACTGGGCAGGCTGAGCTCAGGTGCCGGTGCCAGAGAAGGGACGGGGCATTTGGAGGACGTGCATGTGGAAGAACTTCTTCCCTTTCRCACACTTTGCTGCCATTCCTGGAGCAGACGGGTAAGTTTGAAAGCATGTTTCCTGTAGCACCAAACCCCTGAATTCTCCAAGGGTTCAGGCTTCTCAAACTTCTCCTTTAGAAGAGGAGATATGGTTGGGTTTTTCAAATTTATTAGGCACCAAAATAGAGGTTCTTTTCAAACTAAAGATCTTAAATATCCGGCCCCTTAGYGGGGAAAAGAAATTGGCTGCTGCCTTGAGGAGATTAAGTGTTTTTGTTCCTTTCTGTCCTGAGGTATCTTCAGCTCCTTTGGAATGGTGGAATATCACAGGAACCATCCCGGAGGTAAAGCTGGGAGAGACCCAAGTGGGTCTGGAAATGGGGAGGGTGGAGGAACTAGGAACGATGCTGGGAGAAGGATGGAGAAGGACGGAGGAGAAGGATGGAGAAGGACGGAGGAGCGGTGCCCAATGCCAGGTACAAGGTGCTAGCAGCTCTGCTCGCCCCTGAGAGGGGCACCCATGGGACAGCTCTGCCCTCCTGCTCCTACCAGCGTCCACAATTCCCTGTTCTACACCTGTCACTGGAACAAGACCAGGAGCATCCAGGCTGTTCCTTGGCTGAGGGCTCATTCCCTGCTCTGCCACGCGGCCCCCTGATGTCCCATCCTGCCTAATCCCTTCCAGCCCACCCAAGGGGGACACCCCAAATGCCWTCCCATGGTTTTGTAGGAATCCATGGTGTTTGGTGGGATCAGTTGACACTTGTATGGAGCAGAGGAGCCTGAGGATCATTTTGCCACGGAGCATTGGGTGCCTTGCAGGGTGCACCCCATGTGGGAGACCTGTTTCTTTCCAGCATYTCCCAGACCTTTCAAAGAGCTGTTTGTTTCACCTGGGTGATTTTCATCATATAATATTGTATAATAATATATTTCATTATAGAATATATAATAGTGTATTTTATAATTCCCATTAAATTGAACAAAGAACCCTCCCTTGCTTCAAATACAGTACTCCTGGTGGCAAAAGTAGTGTTATTAAGAACATATTACACAACAAAAATGAGCCAGGGGTCAATTTAGGTGAGCACAAGACATTCCTCTTTCACCCGTTTTCATTCCCACCCGGAGCTGGCAGCGTCAGCACTGAAATCGCTTAAGCCAAGCTCAGCGTTTCTCTGAGTGCCGCAGCCACGTTCCTAGCAGGGCTCGGTGGCTGCTGAACCCCATTCCTTGGTCCTGCATAGGGCATCAGCAGAAGAATATGGACAAAGCCATGGTGGGTGGAYGGCTGGATGTGTGGGGATGGTTTTGAAATGCTGATTTTTCTGCTCTGATTCAGCACCGGGCGAATTGTGAAATTCCAGGGTGTCCCAGAGGAATGAGGGTTTATTTCCCAGCGGGGTGCCTGCGTGCTGCGTGTCACTGGCCACGAGGCAGGAGGTGCGGGCGCGTTTGCAATKTGCTGATTTCCCTGATAGGCTGCGAGTGAAAGAAAGCATGGTGAAAAACAGGCTGGGCACCGCGCTCCCGAGCGGAGCGCCGAGTCCTGGGGCTGCCTCGTGGTCCAGCCGTGTCTGAGCCGCAGGAGCACCTCCAAGGACGTCCCCGAACAGCTCATGTTTTCAAAACCACCCGTATTTTTGAATTAGACGTTTTTCGCATTTTCGAATCAGACTCTGTTCCCCAAACTACCTGCACTAAGCCCCAAAACGGCTCAATTTGTGCACGCTGTGCGTGTGAGCTATTGCTGGCCGGCTGGCAGCTGCTGGGATCAGATGCACATGGATAATGGTTTCTTGTGCTCAACAGACCTCCTTCGGGGACTTCAATGGCCAGAAAGGGACTTCAGGTCTTCACAGCCTGCTCCCCATCTCCCCTGCTTCTCAGAATACAACTAAGTGAGGTTAAACGTGACAAATCCCTCCCATTCAGGGCTAAGCGGCTCTTTGAGAAGAACGCCTGGAGCAGGTGGATGCTGCGAGGGATCTGCTCGGAGGTTGATGGGGCCGTTGACTTCATGCAGGTCTCTGCCCTCTCCAGAGATGTCCCTCCTGGGGGATGTCGCAGCTCTGAATGCAGGATGACATCCTCAGCTCGGCAGAACATCTAAGGTACCTCCAGGCCTCCTGTTGGGTTGACAGCTCGGCTGGAGCATCCAGCAAGGGTCGTGGTTTGGCTCTGCTTTGCTTTAGGGGCGTTTCAGCTCTGGTGGAAAAGGATGGGGGGTAGGATGGGGCAGATGAGCCCAAGGGAGGAGGAGAGGGAAGGTCTC